TCCAAGTCGTTCGGCTCGAGAGAAACAGTTAGGGCTGTTGCGACTCCCGCGCTTTCGGCAAATTCTTGCCAAGGCAACTACCATGGCATGTTCTGCTAAAGGTATCCGTATCGTATGCAGATGCCGTGGAGGACGGCGCAGATCTGTAGCAACAGTTTCACTTCTCCGAAAGCTGTTTCACCTCTTGAACCCTGCTATTAGCATTTTCGAACGTCATCTAGAACGTTCGAGCTGGTCGCACAGCACGTGCTCTGGTCAGTGTGTGACTTGTGCTGCTGATAAGTTCCTTGTAGAGATGCGACAGTACCTTTATGAAGTCAAAGACATGTTGCCTTATTCGGAGAACGTAGATGAAGTCTGTCAGTGGTGACGACCCCCGCTCGGTGAAGAAAACCGGAGCGTCTCTTAACTTCCTGCTTTCAGGAACGATGCGGCCAGGCATGCATCTTTGGAGGGTTAGGGCTTAGGCAGCTTCAGACGCAGCTTTGGCGTTGTAGTTTGCTTTGAGACGTTCAGTTACTCTTGCGGCTTGTACATCTTGAGGGTAGAAAGACACATCGCCTTCAATACTTACAAGCTGTCTCTTGGGTCGAGATGTTTAGTTTTTGCGGTTTGTTCATGTTGAGGTCAAAGAAGCACCTCGTCGTCAATACTTGCAAGTTGTATCCTTGGTTTTATGTGTTTTCCAACAGAATTGTATAGCATTGTTGTAGAAACACCACAAACTACTATATCCAAAAACGCAGGCCCCATGACAGCCCACACTCTCGCAGTAACAAGAAGAGCATCCATCAACTAAGCAATAGTATAGCAATAATAGCAAGATAATGGCATTGTTATTCGTAAGAAGTTCAGTATTAGTAGTAATAATAATTAAAATAGTTCGAATAATAATAAGAAGGCAACCTGAAACAATAATACCAACAATAAGAGCAATATTAGTCCTCATGCCAATAGTAAAAACTGCGAATAGCACTGTTAGCAATAACAGTAGTACTAGTCATAGTAGCCATAGCAGTCATAACGGCAACACTAGTAAACATAGTGATAATTGCAATAATAGTTAAAAGAGCCATAGTAAAAGAAACCATTGAACCCGAAATCTCAAACAACATGCCAAAGCTTCTGAAAACCCATCTAATACTAGTAGGCGTAGTAGTAGGCGCACGGTTGGTTACATCATCATCGTCATCACCATCGTCGACATCCATGTATCACAGCAACAAAACACCACAACGTTAAAACCAAAAAACAAAGACGTAACACAGACAAACTACAAGACCAAGACCACTCAAAACCAGCCCCAAACTCGAGAAATAGCAGCGTCCAGCAAAAGAACGCCAGAAGTCCAAGACTCCAAAACGCAGAAAAAACTGTCATACAAAAACGCGATCTTGCCCAGACCCACCCAAAACCAAGCCAAAGAGAAATAACAGCGTTCAGCAAGACATGAAGTGCCAACACAAACAAATCACAAAAAAGGCGCACCCCCCTCCAACAAGTAAAAACAGCTCAAAACTCGAGAAATAACACACTCAGACCAAGAAATCACAGGCGTCACCAACCAACCCTGCGCCTACTACTACTACTACGACGACGACGACGACTACTGCTGCTACTACTACTGCTACTGCTACTGCTACTGCTACTGCTGCTGCCACTGCCACTGCCACTGCCACTGCTACTGCTACTACGACTACTACGACGGCGGCGGCGACGACGACGACTACTACTACTACTATTACGAAGTTGCGCTGAAATAGTGTTGCCACCAATTGTGGCATATACATATCTGCGACAATCCGCCACCTTCGCTGAAGACGTTGCAGGCCATGCTAGGAAAAAGCATGTTTAAGACTGCTGTTACAGGTGCAACTCCACGCAATGCAATCAAATAGGATGTTTGTTGTCTCCTCATGATGCAGGCAAGCATAGTTGCAGTAAGAATAGCAATGCAACAAGGGTAACAAGAGTAATGGTCGCCGCGGCAGAAACCTGCAATTAGCCACTCGTGCGTGCTAATGACAAGCTAGGCGAGGCTAATCCAAGCCCTGTTCAAGACTGTTTATGCAGATGCGAATGCGCACGGTATGTTGAAGGAGAGCCCATGGCAGAAACTGCCACTGCGGCACGGTGGAAGAGTTATGTTGTGAGTCTTGCAAAATGGTGAGTTGCGGAGAATGACATAACCCGGTGTCACAATGCTGACTTCACCGCATACACATAGAACGCCAGGGCATTTAAATCCACAGAATGATAGCCATCTCCCCAACAACCGTGTGTGGACTTCCTGTCGTGACAGGCTGGGTGGCTGGTCGCAGAACTCCACGACACGTGCAATGATTTTTGCCACTTCAATGGTTTTGATGGCTGCAACGCAAACCGGATTCAAGAAATCAACCGACATCCGAGGGCGACACGCTTGCTCGAGGGTCTGGGGTACAATTGCAGTTCGACAGTCGCCGCCCGCGACGCTGGGATCTTCTTCGATCCTCCCGGTACGCCGGGAACAGCCGGTAAGTGCTTCTACACTAGCGGCACTGTTGACTGCGACGTCAACACGAAGCCCTATGAGAAGCCGGTGTGCCAATGTAGCACCGTGACTACTGCAACAACGACTCCAGACGTTGCTTGGTTGTGATAGATGAACCCTCTATATCTAGTCGTCTGGACATGAGAAGTGGCACAGATGCACCTGTATAGGTAAAGTCTCTTCGAGACGACAGATGATAATTGTGGCCAGCTGCTTCGTAGCTTCTGCCTTTCGCAATGTTGTGGTCGTAAGAGCCAGGCAGGCAATGCATCCGAGAGCACCATGAGAGTTAGCAGGACACGGTGCCTAAATAAGCAGCACAAGTCCCGAGATTGCTAGCCACTACCCCACTACCCCTACAGCTGCCTGCCGACTTCCTGTCGTGACAGGCTGGGTGGCTGGTCGCAGAACTCCACGACACGTGCAATGATTTCTGCCACTTCAATGGTTTTGATGGCTGCAACGCAACCCGGATTCAGGAGATCAACCGACATCCCAGGGCGACACGCTTGCTCGAGGGTCTGGGGTACAATTGCAGTTCGACAGTCGCCGCCCGCGACACTGGGATCTTCTTCGATCCTCCCGGTACGCCGGGAACAGCCGGTAAGTGCTTCTACACAAGCGGCACTGTTGACTGCGACGTCAACACGAAGCCCTATGAGAAGCCGGTGTGCTACTGCAGCACCGTGACAACTGCAACAACGACTCCAGATGTTTCTTGTCTGCATGCAGGCTCATTGTTTAGGCTGTCTGATCGGCGGTGTTCTTGACACTGCTTTGTTTAATGTCGGTGGGCATACAACGAGTTTGCATGCCGGGGCATCGGGCCGTACTGGTTCGAGGGTGTTGAATTCTAGCCGCGAGGTCTCAAGCCCTCAGTGGTAGCAGTGATGTGCGGCCTTCGGATTGGGTGATCTGAGGCCACCCGTTGGCAGCTCGGTGGGCTTGGTGAGACGTGCGACGACGTGTGCACCTTTGGTTGCAACGAGGCTATGATGGCGGAGATCAACCGACATCCCCGGGCGACGCGCTTGCTCGAGGGTCTGGGGTACAATTGCAGTTCGACAGTCGCCGGCCGCAGCTACGGGATCTTTTTCGATCCTCCCGGTGCCTTGGTTCCCCAATACCCAACCTTTTAACTTTTTTTGGTTCGTTCAATTAAGTAATCTGAAAGTTTAACCTTTTACTTCCCTGGCTTGTTGGGGAAGTAAGAACCCTAAACCCCTAAATCCCTAAACCCTAAAGCCCCAAAACCCTAAACCCCAAAGGCACGGCGGGGACAGCCGGTAAGTGCTTGTACGCGAGCGGCCCTGTTGACTGCGGTCGCAACGACAAGAGCTACGAGCAGCCCTTGTGCTACTGCAACCCGCCCCCCCCGTGAAGTTGAGCCCTATTATGAATATATGATATCATGAACTAAGATCTATAATGAATATATGATATCATAAACTAAGATCTATACTGAATATATGATATCATAAACTAAGATGGAGTGTTGTTATGGTTTTATATGGTAAAATACCATAGAATATCTATCCTCTTCGCAAGTTTTGGAGGGGCTCTAGTGCTAGTCCGCAATGCCGGACGGATTTTGTGACACTCCGAAGCCGGAGGACAGCAAAACCCGCAGAAGCCGGAAGCATCGAGAGCGCGAGCTCGGCTGAAAACCCCTTACCTCCGGTAACACTGTTTCAGCCTTCAACTCGGTGAACGCAAGTGCTTGAATGGCATGAGGGCTGGTTTCTGTGTTTTTAGGGTTTAGGGTTCAGGGTTTAGGGTTTAGGGTTTAGGGTTCAGGGTTTAGGGTTTAGGGTTTAGGGTTTAGGGTTTAGGGTTTAGGGTTTAGGGATTAGGGCTTAGGGAGCGCTCTTTTGCCACTTGTTAGCTCGTGAACCTCTTGGACCAATGTTGTTGTAGCCGTTGTGTATGGAAGAGTCTCTTGGCGCAGGCAATCAGTCTAGGACATTTTCAGGTGGGTAGTTACCGCTGTAGGAGCCTTGTAGAGGTCTATATACCTTATAGAAGCCCTATATACCGGAAACTCCCCACCTGTAGTTTAATTTTAGTCAGGATTTGGGCAGTATCAAGAATCTCCACAGAACCACATGTTCTCAGAGAATCGAGTCTCCAGAAGTAGGCTTTGGGTTTCAGGCTTAAGCGCAATTGCCAAGATTAGTGCCATCCCTAAACCCTGCACCCTAAACCCTAAACCCTAAACCCTAAACCCCAAACCCTAAAACCTAAGCCCTAAACCCTAAACCTTAAAACCTTAATCCTCTAATGTCGGAACCTGATCAAGAAACCTCGGGTCCTCTTTGAATCCTAGTATTTTATGGTTATAGGGCCAGGGTTTCGAAATCAGGTTCCTACATTACCCATAAGTCTAGGACATTTTCAGGTGGGTAGTTACCGTTATAGGAGCCTTATAGAAGGTCTATATACCTTATGGAAGCTTTACAAAAGCCCTATATACCGTAAACTCCCCACCTGTAGTTTCCTTTAACATAAGAGCTCATGGATCATGGGCAAGCGAAGCCATGACGAGGACAGTTGACACTTCTTGCGTGAGGGAGGTGGTGTAGCTCGTGCATGCCAATGCAAGGAAAGTTTAGGGTTTAGGGTTTAGGGTTTAGGGAGGAAAGTTTCAGAGAAGAACAGATACTATAGGGGCCAAACAATCACCAATACTCTTTTGGGGGTTCCTTAAGATAACTATAGAATAAACTACACCAAAGCCCTGTTCTAATTATGAAGGCCCCTACATTAAACCTGATACCCTAAACCCCATACTCCGAAACCCTCAAGAATCCTGACAGTTTTGCAGGAGCCGGTTCGGCATCCCGACATCGAAGAGCTGGTGTCAGCTTCCTGGAGGCATTTTCTCTACCCCAGTGTAGGGGCCTTAGAAATTAGAATAGGGTTTAGGGTTTAGGGTTTAGGGTTTAGGGTTTAGGGTTTAGGGTTTAGGGTTTAGGGTTTTGGGGCCCATTATACTACAGTCAGAGCACCGTTCAGATGTGAAGGTGTCAAGGGTGCTGCCACAGCTTCAGGGCGCTATCGGGACTATAGTCATAACAAGGAACCCCCCCCAAAAAAAAATAGTATTGGTATTTTTTCAGGCCCCTGCTAAACCCTAAACCCAGGCCTCAATAGCTGTATTGGGGTTCAATAGGGTGTCCCAGCCATTGCTGTGTTCTTTCTGCAATCACGGGTCTCTTGTTTTGGAGTCCTTAGAACTAGGATCTTACTGACTGCTACTACGTAGGCAGTTCTCTAGATTAGCGTTCCTTTTTCGGGTTCCCAAACCGTAGGGTGCCGTATTAAGGGTCGCAGGATTTGGAATTGAGGGTTTAGGGTTTAGGGTTTGTATCAGGGTCTCTTACTTCCTGAAACCCAAACCCTAAACCCTAAACCCCCATTTCTTGAGCCCTGGACTTGGGTTCGTCTTGTCACGATGACACCGCTTTCCGCTTGGAGAGACATTTCGCGCGGGGGCACCTCAGATTTTCCATCAACGAAGCAGGAGAGCTCAACCGCAACGCACCTAAACCCTCGGCCCTAAACCCGAAACCGTAAACCCAGAACTCTAGGCCCTGAGCCCGAAGCCCTAAGCCCTAAACTCTAGGCCCTAAAATCCAAACCGTAAACCCCAGGTCCTGGTCCCCAAGCCTTAAACCCTAAACCCTAAACCTCCATAATTTAGGCGCCTCCAGCCGCTAGCTGCCTTGATGGGTCTTTGACAATATGTTTTTGTAATGACGGTATATTAAAGTATGTGGGTAGCTCGCTAAATTAGGGTCCCTTTCTGGGTCCCCAACATAGTACGGAACCATTAGAAAAAGGACCCCCCAAAGAGGCCCTAATTAAGAGAACTACCCATGTTATAGTGGGTTCTAGCATGCTTGAGTATTCAACTGTATCGGAGTTTACCGTAAGGCATAGTTCTTTGTAAGGCTGAAGGGTTTTATCTGGGTACATGCTCCTTACTTTCTGAGTCCTTAAAGTATAGGAGATGTCCTTGTGGCAAGCTCGAAGTAGTCTGGGGTTCTTTAAAGGGTTAAATAAGAGTTACAGTTGAGGGTCACTAGCGGCTTGAAGATTTGGACAATGCAAGAGATTTTGGGGTTTCGGCTCAGGGTTTAGTTTAGGGTTTAAGGCATTTCAGGGTTTCGGTTCAGGGTTTAGTTTAGGGTTCAGGGCATATTTTAGGGTTTCGGCTCAGGGTTTAGGGTTAGGGCATTTTAGGGTTTCGGCTCAGGGTTTAGTTTAGGGTTTAGGGCAATTTTGGGGTTTCGGTTCAGGGTTTTTTTTAGGGTTTACGGCAATTTTGGGGTTTCGGTTCAGGGTTTAGGGCATTGTAGGGTTTCGGTTCAGGGTTTAGTTTAGGGTTCAGGGCAGTTTGGGGTTTCGGTTCAGGGTTTAGGGTTCAGGGCATATTTTAGGGTTTCGGCTCAGGGTTTAGTGTAGGGTTTAGGGTATTTTGGGGTTTCGGCTCAGGGTTTTACGGAGAGCTTGGGCCCCACAGATCTCAGGCTATGCGGAAGCGGCAGCGCGGGTCGAGGCGTGTCGTTGCCGAGACACCCACGTTCCCTGGAAAATAAGTTCAGTCTAGGACATTTTCAGATTGGTAGTTACCGTTATAGGAGCCTTCTAGAAGGTCTATATACCTTATGGAAGCCTTGTAGAAGCCCTATATACCCTAAACTCCCTGTAGTTTCCTTTAATTCAGGATTTTCAACAAACAGAAGAGGGATTTTTAACAACCCTCTTAAAGTAGGTTCAGGGTTATCAGGGTTTTCACGGTTTTTGGGGTTCGGAGGGTAAACCCCAAGGTACACGCTAAACCCTAAGCCCTAAGCCCTGAACCCCAAACCCTAAACCCTAAACCCGAAACCCTAAACCCGGCACAGAATCTTGAGAGTATGCAGGCTTTACACGTTTCCCTCTTCCGTCAATCGTCTTCACGTTAGGGCCCAGTCCCAGCATGCCGTATGCAGCAGTGTGGTTTGCATCACGCAGCGACTGTTGCAAGACCCGGCACTAAAGGATTCTGTGTTCTGCAGATCAACGTTCCCTGTGCCATCACGGGGTTTTCCCCACCCTAAACCCTAAACCCTAAACCCTAAACCCTAAACCCTAAACCCTAAACCCTAAACCCTAAACCCTAAACCTCAAGCCCCAAAGCTCTGAAGCCTAAGCCCCCAGCGCCAACCCTGGAGCCGACCCCCAAGCAGGCAAACTTTGGCCTGCAAGACGCTGCGCTCCATCGCCCAGGTGCCCCAAAGGGTCTTTTTTTGGGGTTTAGGGTTTAGGGTTTAGGGTTTAGGGTTTAGGGTTTAGGGTTTAGGGTTTAGGGTTTAGGTGGGGTTGACAGGGCTCTTGGGGCCTAGCGCTGTGTCAGGGTTTCTAGGTTCCCCAGTAGAACCCTTTTGCCCTTTTTCCTTTTTGGGCTCCCGTAATGAAACCACATAGTATGAAAAGGGTACCCTTATTAATTAGGGGCTACTGGGGAACCTATGTTTAGGGTTGAGGGGGTTTGGGGTGCAGAGACGACTGTGGTCCCGTGCCGATGTACTTGAAGAAGCCCAGCATCAGAGGTCTCCAAGGCGGCCACATAGTAGTGAATAGTGATAAACCCTAAACCCTAAACCCCAATCCCTAATCCCTAATCCCCTAAACCCTAAACCCTAAACCCTAAACCCTAAACCCTAAACCCTAATCCCTAAATCCTAATCCCTAATCCCTAAGCCCATCAGCATAATCATGAGTTCAGAGCCTTCCGAAGGCTCCAACGATGTAGGACTGAGCGACACCCACCTAGCTTTCACGGTTTAGGGTTTAGGGTTTAGGGTTTAGGGTTTAGGGCTGCTGAGGTGGAGGGGCAGCGTGGTTTCGTCATCTCGGCTGGGGACACTTGGCTTTTCCAGAATCACTTTCTGATGTGGTTGAGGTTCTTGGCTTCTTAGTTAGATGCTAGGTTTCGTCACGCTTTCGAGCCGATGACAAGTCCTGCGATGGCTTTGAGTTTTCTCCTCTGATTATTCTTGCTGCTGCTGCTGCTGCTGCTGCTGCTGCTGCTGCCTTTTGCCGTTGTTGGTGGTGCTGGTGGTGGCGGCGGGGTAGTCATCATCGTCACCCTGCCACATTGCAAAACCCATGGACCCTTGAACTGAAAGACCAAGCCTCCAGACCGGAAGCCACACCCGTTCCCAGTTGAAGGTTTAGGGGTTTCGGGTGAGGCAGTTTCGAGTTCAAGGCTCCAGCCCTAAACCCTAAACCCT